ATCAAATGTGTGGGGCCCTGACTAGTATGTGGGGAAGTACCTGGCTGGTATGTGGGGAAGTACCCTGGCTGGTGTGTGGGGAAGTACCTGGCTAGTATGTAGGAAGTACCCTGGCTGGTATGTGGGAAACTACCCTGGCTGGTATGTGTGGAAGTACCCTGGCTGGTGTGTGGGGAAGTACCCTGGCTGGTATGTAGGGAAGTACCCTGGCTGGTATGTGGGGAAGTACCCTGGCTGGTGTACCACCATCACTACCACCTTCTACCACCACCACTTTCATATCTTTTTACAAACTTTTTCTTGAATTCTATAGTGTTTCTCACCCTCTTTACCACTAGAAGCTTTCTTTGGGCCCATGATGGCTTATTAGCAGTTACAAGCACTAAAACAATGGAATAATACAAAATGTATCGCATGTACGCGTGGAATCGTCCTCACTGGCTTGTAAACAATGGCACACTGGCTGTACATGGAGCGGCAGGGCCACTCAGGCCACGCGGACACGTTCGGGACGAATGACTTTAACCGAGTTCTTTGTCGTTAACTGAGCCATATTTTGACGCAAAAACGTGTCGTTATCCGATTTTTACATTATCTGATGACGTCATTAACTGAGGTCCACTGTATATCTAAAACTACATGTACAAAACAAGGTCATGGTTCATCCTTCTGATTTTATGGTTCAAGTCATACCCCTGTAGATCCATGTAAGTGCTTCTGTATTCAGCCACTGACTAACTGACTTGTAGTTACATAGAGGAGAAAGCCTAAAGCCATCTTAATTTCTTAAACACTGATGCTTCATAAAAATATGTACAGAATCAGTCCCAGAGTTTGATTGATCCCATCATGTTTTTGCACAATACAGTGGACCCCCGCATAACGATGGCATCGCATAGCGCTGTTTTTCCGCATAACGATTACTTTTATCGCAAAATTTTTGCCCCGCATACCGATTAAAAACCCGCAATACCGATTTTCGTCCGAGACGCGTCCAATGTGCCCTCAGCCAGCCTCACATGTGCCGCTCCGCCCATGTTTTACCAGCCAGCCTCCGCGGTAACATCCAAGCATACACTCGAATATTTCGTATTATTACAGTATTTTCGGTGCTGTTCTTGGAAAATAAGTGACCATGGGCCCCAAGAAAGCTTCTAGTGCCAACCCTACACCTCAAAGGGTAAGAATTACTATAGGATGAAGAAAGAGATAATTGATAAGTATGAAAGTGGAGTGCGTATAGCCGACCTAGTCAAGCTGTACAAGAAACCCCAATCAACCATCGCTACTATTGGGGCACCAGAAAGACAATCAAGGAAGCTGTTCTTGCCAAAGGTTCAACTGTGTTTTCGAAACAAAGATCGCAATGATGGAAGATGTTGAGAGACTCTTATTGGTGTGGATAAATGAAAAACAGATAGCAGGAGATAGCGTCTCTCAAGCGATCATATGGAAAAGGCTAGGAAGTTGCATGACGATTTAATTAAAAAAATGCCTGCAACTAGTGATGATGTGAGTGAATTTAAGGCCAGCAAAGGTTGGTTTGAGAGATTTAAGAAGCGTAGTGGCATCCATAGTGTGATAAGGCATGGTGAGGCTGCCAGTTCGGACCACAAAGCGGCTGAAAAATATGTGCAGGAATTCAAGGAGTACATAGAAACTGAAGGACTGAAACCTGAACAAGTGTTTAATTGTGATGAAACAGGCCTGTTCTGGAAGAAAATGCCAAGCAGGACCTACATTACTCAGGAGGAAAAGGCACTCCCAGGACATAAGCCTATGAAAGACAGGCTTACATTTGTTGATGTGTGCCAATGCTACTGGTGATTGCAAAGTGAAGCCTTTATTAGTGTATCACTCTGAAACTCCCAGAGCGTTCAGGCAAAAGAATGTCCTCAAGGATAATTTGTGTGGCTGTGGAGGGCAAACAGTAAGGCATGGGTCACTAGGGAATTTTCTATAACTGGTTACACCATGCATTTGCCCCCAATGTGAAAAATTACCTAACTGAAAAGAAATTAGAACTTAAGTGCCTCCTGGTGTTAGACAATGCCCCTGGTCATCCTACAGACGTGGCAGAGCGACTTTATGGGGACATGAGCTTCATTAAGGTGAAGTTTTTTGCCTCCTAATACCACTCCTCTCCTGCAGCCCATGGACCAGCAGGTTATTTCCAACTTCAAGAAACTGTACACAAAAGCTCTGTTTGAAAGGTGCTTTGTAATGACCTCAGAAACTCAACTGACTCTAAGAGAGTTTTGGAGAGATCACTTTAATATCCTCAATTGTGTAAACCTTATAGGTAAGGCTTGGGAGGAAGTGACAAAGAGGACCTTGAACTCTGCTTGGAAGAAACTGTGGCCAGAATGTGTAGACACAAAGGGATTTTGAAGGGTTTGAGGCTAACCCTGAGAATCCTGTGCCAGTTGAGGAATCCATTGTGGCATTGGGAAAGTCCTTGGGGTTGGAGGTTAGTGGGGAGGATGTGGAAGAGTTGGTGGAGAGGACAATGAAGAACTAACCACTGATGAGCTGCTAGATCAACTTCAACAGCAAGAGGCCACACCTGAGGAAATTGCTTCGGAGGAGGGGAGAGAGAAATTGAAGAAGTTGCCTACTTCAAAGATTAAGGAAATCTGTGCAAAGTGGCTTGAAGTGCAAACCTTCATGGATGAAAATCACCCTACACACAGCTATTGCAAGCCGTGCTGGTGATTATTACACTGACAATGTTGTGAAACACTTTAGGCAAGTCATAAAGGAACGAGAGGTACAGGCCACTATGGACAGATATCTTGTGCGAAAGAAGTCCAGTGACTCTGAAGCTGGCCCTAGTGGCATTAAAAGAAGAAGGGAAGTAACCCCAGAAAAGGACTTACTACCTCAAGTCCTAATGGAAGGGGATTCCCCTTCTAAACACTAACACACTCTCTCCCCTCCTCCCATCCCATCAATCATCACCAGATCTTCAATAAAAGTAAGTGTCATTTAATTGTGCATGCCTTTTTCAGTTTGTGTGTATTAAAATTAACATTTCATGTGGTAAAAAAAATTTTTTTTCATACTTTTGGCGTCTTGCACGGATTAATTTTATTTCCATTATTTCTTATGGGGAAAATTCATTCGCATAACGATTATTTCGCATAACGATGAGCCCTCTTGCACGGATTAAAATCGTTAACAACGGGGGCCACTGTACTATAGTACGTATATATGGTATGCCATCCGTGATGGTATATAGTAAACTACTAAAGAGTAGACCACCTTATAAATCTACTGTTAATTGCTCTGTTTTGTCTGATCTGGTGTCCCATGAGCACCACTTCATTGGTCTGCAGTTACTAACAATGTCCTGATATGTTTGCAAATAAATAATTTTTTTAACACAATGGCCGTTTCCCCGAGGCAGGGTGACCCCAAAAGAAAGAACTTTCATCATCATTCAACACTTTCACCATACTCATCATAATCATTGTCTTTGCAGGTGCTCAGATACGACAGTTTTAGACATCCCTCCAAACTGCCAAATCCTAAACCCCTCCTTTAAAGTGCAGGCATTGTACTTCCCATTTCCAGGATTCAAGTCCAGCTAACTGGTTTCCCTGAATCCCTTCACAAAATATTACCCGATCACACTCCAACAGCTGTCAGGTCCCAAAAAACCATTCGTCTCCAAACCCCTCGCCCACAAACCTCCTTTATCCCCTCCCTCCAACCTTTTCGGGGATGATCCCTACCCTGCCTTCCTTTCCAATAGATTTATACATTCTCCAAGTCATTTACTTGTTCCATTCTCAAATGGACCAAACCAACCTCAACAACCCCTCTTCAGCCCTCTGACTAATACTTTTAGTAGCTCCACATCTCCTAATTTCCACACTACAATATCCTCTGCATAATATTTACACCACACATTGCCCTTAGACAGAACATCTCCACTGCCTCCAGCCACCTCCTCGCTTCACCATTTACAGCCCAGCTTCAAACCCATGTAAGAGTGTTGGTACCACAAACACTCTCATACATTCCCTTCTTTTCCTACATGGATAATGTTCTTTGTCTCCACAGATACCTCAATGCACCACTCACCTTTTTTTCTTCATCACTTGTATGGTTTTCCTCATCCTTCATAAACCCATCTGGTGACAAGTCAACTCCCAAATATCTTAAAACATTCACTTCTTCCATACCCCCTCCCTCCAGTGTGATATCCAATTTTTCTTTATCTAAATAAATTTGATACCCTCATCACCTTACTCTTATCTGTATTCACTTTAAACTTTCTACCTTTATGCACCCTTTTATTCATTAATAATATTAAATTTTATTATATTTAGCTGTTATGGAGGTTATTAAATGTTATATAATTAATCATATTCCTACTCTTTGAATTCCAGTAATGGATATTATTCAACATCTTTGTAGCTATGTATGTATATTTAGAGTAATATGATGCTATTTATATTAAGAACATAATTTAATTTACCAAAACTTTTATTAAATGTATTCTGGTATGAGTGTTACATTCTGATGGATATGATTATTATAATCATGGGGAAGCACTAAACCTGTAGGATTACACAGCTCCTGTGGGTAGGGGCATAGAAGGTATTAAAGGCTTAATTAAGGGAACTGGAGCACAGATCCAATTTCCTAGATCAAGACTCCCTCACCAGCATCAAGGAACCTCTCTTGAGGGGATTCTGATGGATAGGTTGGTGTTGTAGTTCAGGGCCATTTGAACTATGATATCCATGCACTTCTGGCAAGACTGCTAGTGGATGAATAATGGTGAATATGCTTCCTTCTTGGGAATGTGTTTCTTTGTTGGGAAATAATGGATGTACAACAGTAAAAAATAAAAAGCATTATGGCAATGCGATGTCCATTATCCATTTGTGAAGAGTTAACGCCTAGCTTCTCTGTTGATAAATTTTTTAATTGAAAACTGGTTGTAGGGATCTTTATTAAGTAGACTATTAAAAGAGTGTTCTGTTAACAGAGGAGACAGCCTCAGTGTTGTTGAAGTTGGCACAGCAAGAAAGTTCCAAAGGATACAGCATTCCTGTTAATCCAGAGCATGTAACCAAAGCCAAACAGGTTAGTTTCCACATAGCTTTATTTTCTGTATTTCTTGTATATTGTTTTTTTTTCTATAATTGTAATTACCATTGGATAATTCAAGAATTTGCCAAAGAAGAGTAATGTTATAAGGAACAGTACAGTGCTTCCACAGTTTTGTTAAATTCCGAGCTTAATCACACACACTTTGTGTGTCTAATTTAACAGATGACAAAGTACAATAAATGATAAAATTCACCACATTGTTAGAATAATGCCCTGCTCTAGGTGAGAGGTCATTACTGTTCTTCACTCATATGAATTTATCACAGCACAGTCAACGTGAAAACGCTATTTGTGAGACTGTAAAGCAGAATTATTTAATTTTGCACAAGGAACACAGATAAATTCTTTTATATTATCCTTCTGGTTTGCAACTCACTGAAAAGCCTCATAGCATGTCTGCTATTTTTGTATACATTACCTATAATTATGGAGATACTAAAATGAAAATCAGGCAGTGAAGAATCTTACATAAAGTGCACTAAGTACTGTATGATTTGCTACATTTTTAGAACTGATATCACATTGGAGAGAGAGAGTATGAAAGATGAGGTTAACCATAGAATTGATGAAGGAAAAAAGGGTGGTGGTGTGTTGAGGTACCTGTGGAGACAAAAAACGTTGTCCATGGAGGCAAAGAAGGAATACGAAAGTATAATAGTACCAACACTTTTATATGGGTGTGAAGCTTGGGCTGTAAATGCTGTGGCGAGGAGGCAGCTGGAGGCAGTGGAGATGTCGTGTCTAAGGGCAATGTGTGGTGTAAATATTATGCAAAGAATTCAGAGTGTGGAAATTAGGAGGACGTGTGGAGTTACTAAAAGTATTAGTCAGAGGGCTGAAGAGGGGTTGTTGAGGTGGTTTGGTCATTTAGAAAGAATGGAACAAAGTAGAATGACTTGGAGAGCATATAAATCTGTAGGGGAAGGAAAGTGGGGTAGGGGTCATCCTCAAAAAGGTTGGAGAGAGAGGGTAAAGGAGGCTTTGTGGGTGAGGGGCTTGGACTTCCAGCAAGCTTGCGTGAGTGTGTTAGAATGGAGACGAATGGTTTTTGGGACCTGACGAGCTGTTGGAGTGTGAGCAGGGTAATATTTTGTGAAAGGATTAAGGGAAACCAGTTAGCCGGACTTGAGTCCTGGAAATGGGAAGTACAATGCCTGCACTTTAAAGGCAGTTTGGAGGGACTTCTAAACTATCGTATCTGATCTCCTCTTCAAAGACAGTGATTATGCATGAGTGATGGTGAATGATGATGAAAGTATTTTCTTTTTTTTTTTTGGGGTCACCTGCCTCAGTGGGAAATGGCCAGTGTGTTAAAACAAAAAATCCGTCATATTTTCTTTTTCACTAAACATGTGCTTATAAAAGACACCCTTTCATTATGATATTTTAAATTATTAATTTCAGTGTTTTATGCTTTGTTTATCTCATTCTAGGTAGTGAATTTCTACCTCACATTACCTCACATCAGTTATGTTACTGCTTTGTGTTTGGCAGTGAATTTTAGAAATGTTGCAGACTTCATAAACAGGTGAGAATCAAGAATATTTTTTGTTTAAAATAAATTGAGTGTGTGTAAGTAAGTGTGTGTGAGTGGGTGTGTGCATGTGAATGGGTGTGTGAGTGAGTGTGTTTGTAAGTGAGTGTGTGTGAGTGAGTGAGTTAGTTAGTGAAATAGTGAGTTAGTTGTCATATCTCCCCTCATTCTGTGTCTTTGAAGAGAGTATAAATGTACTTTATGAAATTCACTGTAAGAAAATCATGCAATATGAAATCATATTATATAAGGATTTACAGTATAATTATTCTTCCAATTAATTTATTTATTCTGCTGTGTTGATTTTACCAGTTCTGCAGAGACTGTACGAGACAAGGGTCGAATTTCACTGCAGAAAGCAACAGCCATCAAGCAGTACCTATGCAGAGGTTTTAGACCAGATATGCTGCCTCCTCAGTAACTTTAGGTCTTTTCTTGACTACCTTGTAAATTTGGCTGGCTGCTAAAAAAAAAAATCACAATACCACGGCTGGAACGAATCCATTGTTCCTCTTTGCCCTGGATCATTTTCAGGTCACATTGGTTGTGCTGTGATCATGGTAAAGGATGACCATGATCACTTTACCTTTCTAGACACTAAGCTTTTCATATATCAGTAGTATATTATTTAAAAAATGCTGATAATTCTTGTTATACAATTAATTTTTTTAATAATAATAGTATACGTATAATACTTTGGTAAATGTTAATAAGCACGCACTTGTACATAAGCTTAAATATTTATTGTGTTTGATTCCTGCTGTGCAATATTCCAGGGATTCCTCATTTTTAACCAAAATTTTAATTCCTCTACCTCTAAGACACTTACCTGAAAGCCAACTTTCAAATATTCTTATTATTATATACTAAAACATTTGTTTTTTTTACCGTATGGCAGTCTCCCACTGACACCTTGGAGATGTCCTGTCTAAGGGCAATGTGTGGTGTAAATATTATGCAGAAAATTTGGAGTGTGGAAATTAGGAGAAGGTGTGGAGTTAATAAAAGTATTAGTCAGAGGGCTGAGGAGGGGTTGTTGAGGTGGTTTGGTCATTTAGAGAGAATGGATCAAAGTAGAATGACATGGAGAGTGTATAAATCTGTAGGGGAAGGAAGGCGGGGTAGGGATCGTCCTCGAAAAGGTTGGAAGGAAGGGGTAAGGGAGGTTTTGTGGAGGAGGGGCTTGGACGTCCAGCAGGCGTGCATGAGCGTGTTCTATAGGAGTGAATGGAGACGAATGGTATTTGGGACCTGACTTATCTGTTGAAGTGTGAGCAGGTAATATTTAGTGAAGGGATTCAGGGAAACCAGTTATTTTTATCTAGCTGGACTTGAGTCCTGGAAATGGGAAGTACAATGCCTGCGCTTTAAAGGAGGGGTTCGGGATATTAGCAGTTTGGAGGGATACGCTGTGTATCTTTTAACGTATATGCTTCTAAACTGTTGTGTTTGAGCACCTCTGCAAAAACAGTGATCATGTGTGTGAGGTGAAAGCGTTGAATGATGATGAAAGTATTTTCTTTTTAGGGATTTTCTTTCTTTTTGGGTCACCCTGCCTCGGTGGGATGGCCGACTTGTTTAAAAAAAAAAAAAGTATTTGCTGCTCTTCAGTAGTGGCATATTTATTTTTTTGAACTGGATATTGATAGAGCTCAGTGAGTGATATAAATGGTGAGGAATATATAAATTATGGGTAACATGAGAAAACCTGGGAAGTTAAGGAATTTGGCAGCTAAAAGTCAAAGCAGAGAGATGTACAATGGGAAGGTGAAGGTCCTGAAAAGATGGAGAGACTATTTTAAGGTGTTCTTAAATTAGGATGATGACAATGATTTGGCAATTTGGTGCATGAGCATTTGGATCTGGTAGGAGAAGGAAATTCTAAGACATTTTAACCCTTTGGGGGTTTCGGACGTACTAGTACGTCTTACGACCCAGGGTTTTTGACGTACTTGTACGCCTAAATTCTAGCACCTTCAAATCTAGTGAGAGAAAGCTGGTAGGCCTACATATAAAAGAATGGGTCTATGTGGTCAGTGTGCGCAGATAAAAAAAAATCCTGCAGCACACAGTTCGTAATGAGAAAAAAAAACTTGGACCGTGTTTTTGGATTAAAACAGCGACTTTGCACTGTATTTTCGTATGGTTTTATTGTTGTATTCTAGTTTTCTTGGTCTCATTTTATAGAATGGAAGACATATTACAGAAATTGAGATGATTTTGACTGGTTTTACAATGAAAAGTACCTTGAAATTGAGCTCAAAGAAGCAGAAATGTTCGATTTTTACCCAAGTTCAAAAGTAAACAAATCATGCTAAGCGTGCAATACACATCAACTGGTGAGTCTAATATTCTTTCACAAGTGCGCTGATATTATTTATACCATTTCTACACTAATGCAGTAGTCTGCATAACAGTAAATCTTATTTTTTTTTTAAGAATAAAAATTCAAAGTGGAAAGCCAAAGAAATATAAGAGGGGCCTGGGGATGTGGACTAACGAACAGAGAACTTGTTATTTTAGTGCCAGGAATGTCTTTCTTGTTTATTCTGGACCCTATTCAGAAATTGGCATCTTTCGAAATTTGTGTGAAATTGGCAAAACTGCTAAATTCTGACCACTTTATTGGATAGTTGAAATCGGTAAATGGGTGGTTTCTTGTACTCATTCGATAGAAAAAAAATGGAGTTCTAGCGAAATAGTTATGATTTTTGTCGACTAGTACACTGGAATTGGCCGAAAATAGGGCTCAAATTTGGCAAAATCGCCGATGCGTAAACATCGTTGAGACCGCTAACTTCGCGAGAGCATAATTCCGTAAGTTTTCCATCAAATTTCATACTTTTGGTGTCATTATGATCGGGAAAAGATTCTCTATCTTTTCATAAGAAAAATTTTTTTTTTTTTAATTTGGCTGACCCTGAGAACACGTCTCTGAGAGGACCTGTCGACCCCCAAAGGATTAAGCAGGACTAACCTTTGTTTTATGACATTTCACCCACAGTGGAGTGATATCAAATCCCCACTTTGGGCGAGATGTAAAATAAAGGTTATTGCTTCTTAGCGTCTTTTAATTACCACTTGTTAATTTATGCCATTATTTACCTGGGAGAAGAGGAGCCAGAGGTGAGTGTGGAGGAAATGGGTGTGGAGGAAATGGTATAGATGTGATTAGGGCAGAGATATAGTTTAAAATAATTGGTGAATTTGTTTAATTTGTGTGTAAAAGAAGAGAAGATACCTAAGGATTTGTAGAAAGCATAAGATGAAAGAAAAAAATAGAGAGTGTAAGAATAATAAGGTATATGTCTGTTGAGTTCTCCATGGGAAAGTGAAGAAGAATTCTTCCTCTGTAAGTCATGCTTGTCATAAGAAGTGACTAAAATGCCAGGAGCACGAGACTAGTAACCCCTTCTCCTGTATAAATTACTAAATGTAAAAAAAAGAAAAGCTTTCGTTTCTTTTTTTTTGGTCATCCTGCATCGGTGGGAAACAGCCAGTGTGTTTAAAAAAAGTCTGTTGAGTATACCAGGTAAAATGCAGAGCATAATTATTATCAAAAAATTTAAGGAAAGAGAGAAAGTAGGATTACAGGAAAAAAAACACGAGTGGCTTTAGAAAGTGAAAATGTGTGGATCAGGCATGTGTTTGGGTTAAAGCATGTAAATAAATTAGAGAATAGTTGAGGCAAACAAGATAGCTTTGACTTTAAAAGTCTTTGAGGCACCCTGTTCTCTCTGTGAGCAAGTGTCAAGTTCCAGTATCGATTAGCCACATTCTGTTAGACGGTGTGTGCCCTCCTCTTATCAACGAGCACGCAAATTGTACCTCCAACTCGTCTTCGTTCTACTACTCTCCTTTACCTTCCTTCTGCTGATGGGACCCTCCATTAAATCCTGACTCTCTCATTGACTTCTTGACAAACGACCGATTTACTCCCACAAACACTTATGATCTTTTATCGCACTCCCCGCTCAGCCCTTTCTGGTTCAGTCTCTTGCTGCCCTTTACCCTTTCACCATCCACTGCCCCGCTGTTATCGAAACCTGTTGCCTCAATTTCCATCTCCCTTTTGCCACCTATGGGGGGGGGGGGGGGGGGGGGGGGGGGGGCCCTCACAGCCCGTCCTCCCTGCAGCGCTGTATAGTCCTTGTGGCGTAGCGCTTCTTTTTGATTATAAGAATAATAATGCAAATTTCCTGACCCACATTATTAGGTAGTTGAAATCGGTAAATGTGCATTTCTTGACTCAATCAATAGAAAAAATGGAGTACTAAAAGAAATAGCTATGAGTTTGGGCGACTGAACAACAGAATTATCCGAAAATAGGGCTCAAAGTTGGGCAAAAATCCGCCGATTTGTAACAGCGCCGAGGTCGCTAACTTCCACGAGCCATAAATTCCGTCATTTTCCATCAAATTTCGTTTTTTGTGTCATTACATATCGGGAAAAGATTCTCTATCAATTCATAAGAAATTTTATTTTTTTTTTTAAATTTTGCGACACCAGGAGACACCTCAGGATTGGGTTGCCTGACAGTCAAGGGTTAATATACATTTAAAAGTTACCTAATGCCTACTTTATACATTAGGTATCCTTAACTGACATAAAGAACATGTAGCCTCTAGAAGTATTATATAGGAGGGGGTAAGGTGAGAATCTGTGAAAAAGAGGAGTTCTATGGAACTGTCTTGAAAGTGGCATTTAATTATTATTTGGGGATGGTTTCAAAGTGATGGTAATGTTTGGGGAGGCTTATAAGTGCCCTTTGCCACCCCCACCCTATGCTGCCACTTCTAGCAGCAGTAAATGATCCTCATGTGATAGGCCTTTTAAATGCAACCAACCAACCATACATTTATATCATTCAGTATTTATATATACAACTGAATATATATTTTTATTCCCATTTAAGAGAGTAAAGCAAGTAATAGGTTGGATTGTGGACATAATGGCCAATATGTAGTCACTGTAGGTGTCAACCCTAAACTTAACAAACGTATCATATTTCTGGTTTTATTACTAAACTGTAGCTCAGTATGTGTAGCAATTCATTACAAGATCAAAATTCATTCCATCATAATTTAATGCACTAATTTTAGAGAATATAACTGTAATAATAATAATATTATTATTAATTTACAACTCATATATGATAATACATAGTTTCTTATGAGAAAATCATTCAAATTCAACTTGGGAAAATATTTTTCTTGTGATCATACCAACTAATTTGTGTAAGGAATGTTTACATGCCCTTTTTTGAAGTTTCTCAGGTAATAAAAAAAAATTTACAACGATGACACTGTGAATACTAATAGATAATATATTATAATTTTCAGAATTATATGAGTTTTTGTTATACAGCAGCCATGACCATCTGACCCGCAGATGAGTATGGGGTACAGATAAACCTATTCAACCCAACTTAAACTAACAGCCAACCATATATTTCACTAAAAAAGGTTCACAATATAAAAATAATGGATGGGTTTCGAGATTACACATACTGACTCCACCAGTCATTGAAGTAACCACAGGGATCACACTTAATTGTAGCAGCACATTTGGTTCCTTGAAGTTAATATGTATTAACATATAAATACCCTTCTTAGTTGGTGGCCTCATCTTTCTTTCTCTGTGAGTCGATAACTGGTTGTGCCAGTATAATGGTGTAACATTCATCACTTTAGAAGCATTCTGATCTAGGACAAGTACAAGACTATGTCCCATTACATTCCACACATCATTTTACATACTAACTAGTCATATCACAGTTCTCAGTTCTTTAAATAAAACAGAATAGGTCACACCAGTTCTGCACTCAGTTTACACTTCCGTATGCCAATAATAAAACAGAATTAGGTCACCACCACAGTTCCTATACCCATTAGAATATCCCCAATAAATGGTACCTCTAAGCTGGTGCCTGATTTTTTCATCCATTATTATTATTATAATAAAAAAGAAGCGCTAAGCCACAAGGAGCTATACAGCGCTGCTATTCAACCCATGATTTTCAAACCATCAGTGGCAGAACTTGGAGATTGCAACTTCTGAGCAGCTTCAAACTTAGTGTCGTATATATTTTAGAAATGTACTCTACTTTCCTTTAAATCTTCAGTGCTGAATCTTAACACAATAGAAACTTAAGGTCAAACCCTGTATTTATTCTTTCGGGCGCACTTGAGGAAGAGCGGCCGTACGGGATACTGAGGTCACCTATCAAAGTTAATACACTCTAAATTACTAATGCTCAAACGTCAAACCATTGGTATCCACTCATCCTCTTGTGGGCCGAACACATGAAGGAGTGAGGTCAGTGTTGGTGATGAGGAACTGCAACTCTCAGCAGGTCAATATCATCACGATGAACCCTCCCAGGCGGCCAGGTAACCCAAACCCCAGACTGATTAAACGGGGGCAGTGTTCCAGTAGTGCTTCTAATCGTATGCTGGTCAGGTTCTCCGCTATACCAAAACCAGATTTTTCACGAACGTATTGCAGAGAATGGTCCATGAGGCCTGGCCTGAAAGCTTCATCAGACAGCTGACCACACT